GCCTGTTGATTGTTAATAAATCCCAGCTCATAACTTAAGGTGACCGCTGGCTTTTGAAATTTATTTTTATTATTATATTACTTCTTTTGTGATTGATTTCTAAACTTTTAAAGTACATTTAATTAATTTACTGTTTTAAACCTTTGGTTCTTTCTGTTAGTTCATTAATACATTTTTATTCTTTTTTTTTTCTGTTAGACTTACATATGTAGTTTTACAATGTGAAATGCATATTTATTGGTTATTTATTACACTTATGTACTTGTTACAACAGTTTTCAATTTACAGTAAAAGCAATTTTGAACATTGTTTTGAAAAGTAAATATAGTACAAATAAAAAATAATTTCTGGTCATTTGGTCACATCAACCCAAAGACTTAAAATATTTTCTGACTAACTACTTATTAAACCATCATATGGGAACACTATATGAGACCATGGACACTTTCCACTATTTCATTACAGGAAAGACATTTAATTTTATGCTGAAATACACACAGAGAAATGACAAAGAGAAGATTTTGAGCAAGAAAATAAATCTTTTAATGTAGTCTGACTGGATGGCCTCTGTCTCTCTCTCTCTCAGGTATGGCAGATCCCTCTGCTCTACCTCAGGCTGTGTCCGCCTTCCAAGCATGCCACTTCATCGGGATGCCTGAATGTGAGGTAGGCCTACCTGACCAATCAGTGATGGTCTTCAATTAAAACACTTCAACCTGATTTTTATGTTGAATGTCAGGATGAGCTTACTAGAATTTGGCATTCAAAGGTCAAGGTCACCATGACCTCATAAAACATGTTTTTGGCCAGAATTGATGATTTTTCACAAGTGGTCAGACAATGATATGGTGACACATTTGACTCAAATGTCTAAGTTCACAGTGACCACAAACAAATCCTAGACAAACACACTTTTAGTCATAGCTCAAGAATTGATGCGTCAGCTATGACAAACTTTCCCACAGATGTTCAGTGGAATACAACAATGAAGTGGTGATTTCAAAGGTCAACTTCCCTGTGATAGTAAAATATCCTGGAAAAACACTTTGGTCATGAACAGAAGGGGAAATGTTATATGTTTATCTATATTTCACAGTTGGTCATAAACTAACTAAAAGGTCATTGAGACCTCAAAGTAGGTTTTTAGGCATCATTTAAGAATGAATTGGCTGATTCCAGGTTTCACACACATGTTGACAGAGACGACACAATGAGCTAGCGCAGTTATATCTTTGTTTCACCCGCTGGTCAACAGGTGATCCTGGCTCAGTGTGCAGTCTATCTGGCACGAGCACCCAAGTCTGTGCAGATCTACAAGGCCTATGCTAATGTGAAGGCCTGTCTGAGGAACCACAAAGGCCCTCTGCCTCCGGTCCCTCTGCACCTTCGCAACGCCCCCACCAGGTTGATGAAACAACTGGGCTACGCTAAAGGCTACAAATACAACCCAGCCTTCAGTGGCTCCGTGGAGCAGGATTACTTACCTGATGAGCTGCAAGGAATCAACTTCTTCACCTGGACACCTTCAGACCCATGAGGATCTGCTGTAATGACTGACGCAGCTCGCTGTATTAGGTTAAAAACCAAGGCGGCTGAATGAAAACAATCTACTAAATGATCAGTTTGGGGATATAATGTAAGTTTTATGTAGGTGCTGATCCAAATGAAAATGTATAGTTGGGAGTTAACCATCATGTCATGTTCAGATTTGTCTACAATTTGACTTTAGTTTATTGTTTTTGAATATTTTATAAAGGAGACAAACACTATATACAGTTAATTTACCTCTAGATGTTCATAACAAAGTCATTAATCTTTACAAATAAAAAACAGAAATGTACACTGTATGCCTTTGTATTCTCATAATAGATACTTCAATGTTTACCATGTTAAATACATTTGTTGGTTTATTTTTGTTCTGTTCTTGTAACATTTTCAAATATTGTTTAAACTGATTAAAATGTTTGTTTCTTTATGTTATAATTGTATATATTTTGATTAAATACAGACAGATATTCTAATATAAAGTGTCATTATATAGTTTATTCAGTCATTTCTTCAGTTGTGGAAACCTCTTCAGTTTTGGGCCATGGTCTGAGGGGAAATAACACAAGATTAAGTTTGTACATTTCACAAATAGACTATATTTATTATATGTCTTCATGTAAAGTGATTCTGGTTACTTGTTGCTATTTATGTGGCTTCTCTCACCTCACTGATCCAGGGGATGAAGGAGGCCACACGGGTAAACATTGTGGGCTTCCGAGGGGTATTACAGCCCCGTCCATCCACGAAACTAGTCACTCCTTGTACATACCATTTACCATCCCTGCCCTTACAGTTCAGAGGGCCTCCAGAGTCACCCTGGAAGATAATTTAAGATATTGGAGCAATGGAAAATAGTATTGTTTGCTTCACCCAAAGCATGGAGTTGTGGTGGCTGTAACTCACATGGCATGCTGACTTGCTCTCTCCTCCTGCGCAGATCATTGTTGTCTTTGCTGAGCTACCCCACCAGTCATTCTGACTACAGACACTGTGACCCACCACAGGAAGTAGGGCCTGCTGTAGTGTAGTTGCCTGAGGACCACCAGCTGAAGAGAAAATCACATAATAATTGGGCATTTGAAATATTTAGATTTACACAGTGGAGTACGACATGACATGACGTGAGCCGGGTGATGGCAGACTTTGGCGGCAGGTCTTACAGGAGAGACGACCCCAGCCTGTGACGTAGCAGGGCTGGTTGTGGGCAAGAGTATCACTCTGCTGTGGCAGGCAAGCCAGCTGAACCTTGTCATTGATAACAGCACTTTTCTCCAGCTTAAGCAGGGCAATGTCATTCCTACATAACAGGATGAAACAATGAAATGTGAGAGTAATTACATATTTTCAATTGCTCAGAGTCCACATATCTGTTTGTTTTCTACAGGTGAATGTGTATTAATTTACATTTAAAGGACTTCTATTTGCTCAGCTGCTGTTCAACAGAAACTCTCAGGGTATAGGCACCTTTTTCAAGGACACATTAACTGTGTTTCTTAGTAATCCACAACAGATCTAAAACACTGGAGTGGTTATGTTGAGGAGGGTTAATAATTACCCACAAGAGACACAGTTGCTGTTCCATTTGGGATGGATGAACATTTTAGCCACCATAATGGACTGTTCAGGTCCTTCCTCCTTGTTCATGTCATGCTCAGCAAGAACAACCCTGTACGTGTGGAATCTGGATTGGAAAATAAAAAGCTTTATCTCAATGACATGTGACCGTGGCAAAGAAAAAAAACATCTTAAGAGGAAGCCTGCATGCCATTTGCTTCGGTTTTAAAACAACTGTTTATCCACAAACTTCCTCACGTGATGCAGTGTGCAGCAGTCAAGACCCAGTTAGGAGCAATAAGTGTTCCTCCACAAGTGGGGAAGAAAGACTCCAGAGAAATCTGCCACGGCCAGCTGTATGGACGGGCTTCTTCCCCATTCACCACACGGCTGGTGTTGGGCTGGTAGCTGGGTACACCACACCCAGACACTTCAACATAGTGAGAGACAGAACCAAGGCAAACTGAGAATGTCTAACTTCATATATTAATTCATGTAAAAATGTGTGTAATGCGAACTCACCAGTTGTAACAACCAGGAGGAGGAGCAGTACCAGTTCCATCTCTTATTCGTCCAAACAACCTGGCTCATCATGCAGAGCTATTTATAGGAACCAGTCCAGACACAGCCTGGGAGTGTTCCTCACATTTCCCAGGTGGCAAAACTGCTGTGTAGTTTTTTAGTTAGATAACAGCCGAAAATCAGACTGTAAAAAATTGTATGTGCAGATTGAGACATACCAATAACACAAGTTTTAACACCTTATAATGTATCCACATGTTGCTCCATTTAAGGCCCCACAAAAAATTAAGATTGTTTTAATCTTACGCTGGGCCCAAACATTTTTAGCTATATTATAGGCAGAGGAACTATGTAATCCCTTAAAACAGCACTACTTCAAAGAAATGTTCAATTTAATTAAATTAAATTAAGGTGTTTGGTATGGGGGAAGTAATGTGTGCCTTCATATCTTAATAGGGTGAGAATTGAGAATAGAGTGTGAATTGGCAAAAGGGCCTTCAAGAAAGGAAAAAAAGAGATACAAAAAAATGTAGAAATGCACATTACTATCAGCAAAGCAGAGGTTAAACATGTAATCTGAGGGGGAAAACAACCAAATGTGGCAAAAAAGATGGGACAGAGAAGGGAAATGGAGGCATTTTTATAAAATTCAAAAGAGTGTGAAAGTTATTAGGGTAGACAGCGAACACAGGACAGAGGACACCGTAATATTAAGGTTTATTAAGGTAATATTAAAGATTGAGACACTGTGCACTAAACAAAACACTGAAAATGGCGAGGGATGTCAGGAAGAAGAGTCAGTGGAACATGTAGTTTGGAGTTGTAGGAGGTATGGGACACAGAGGGAGATGATGTGGGAAAAACTGAGGGAATTAGAGGGGCAGGAATTCACATGTCACAGGTCAGGGTATTGTTGACCTTTTTAAGGGATAGGGGTTTTACAGGAATAGGTGATAGGGGTCAAACAGAGTTTAGAGTATAGTTTAGGGTGTGGCTTCGTGTGTTTGGGTTTTTTTTCCAAGAGATTTAGTTTGTCTATTTTCTGAGTCCCACTCCGGAGCAGAAGGTGGCGGTAATGCACCAACAAGGTGAATGCCAACCTTCGTCAGACAACAACAAGTAGAAGAAAAGGAGCCCGGAGTCGGCGCAGGAGCACGGGAGCTTCTTGAAAGATGGCGGCGCCCCGTTTTTCACTCGTGCGGCTTAAAGCGCTGTTCAATATCGGCAAATGCGTCCACACAGGAGACAAAACGGCGTCCAACTGGGGCAGAGACGTGCGGTGGTGTCAGACAAAAGCCCGAACCTTACGGGACCAGGGTACATCACATGTCCAGACTAAACAAGGTGAGTGAAAACTGTCATTGGCCAGATGAGCAAACCGGTGACAGCGACGCATAAACCTGAAGGGCATCCATAGTGTAGACATCTCCCTAATCATCATGTTTCTTTCGAGTTTACCTTAAAATGCCGTTAACCTTGCTGTGCTTGACCTTACTTTTATTTTTATTATTATTTTTTTTACCATTTCTATAACATGAGCCCAGACCTTCTCCTGAAGGAGTTCCCGGACCCAAAGGGTCTCCTACATAGCACCATCTCCCGTTCAGTGAGAACAGGCGACCTGTCCCAGCTCATCCAGTACAGCTGCACGGAACATGCGGGTGTCAAGGTCAGAAGAAAGTCACGGTGGGATGGGGGAGGGAGGGAGGGAATAGTGGGGTATTCTGGACACACCGAGTCGTTTGGAGCTAGGGAGTTAAATTCTGTTTTTGTAACTTTGTTTCTGTAGAGAGCCACCGTCACACTACACTGGCCCTACAAGATCGAAGAGGAGGGACACGCTGTCAGGAAGCTGGATGCAGAGCGAGTTGCTGCAGCGGCTGCTTGTCTCAAACTCAAGGTAAGCCGTACTGACATCAGACAGTTAAAGAGCAGACACTTTCCATTTTGTCTTACCAATCTGTGGTGATTTTTCTTCTCTACTTTTCTCTCCCTTTCCTTGCTCTCCTTGTGTACAGGAAATTGGTGTCATTGGTCCAAATAATCAGCTCCCTGGCAGGAAAGCTGACGGGAGGAGAGGGGGGCTGCTTTCAGCTTTTTGTGATGAGAACGACCTGTTGACAGATAATTTCAATGTGTTTAGAGAGAAGGCACATGTACAAAACCAACAGACGGCCACTGAAGTAGAGGCCTCCCAAATATATGAAGCTCTTACCCTGTTTCCACAACCTAAACATCTCCTCATCAGGGTCATCCAGTTGGCTAAATCCAACAGAGTCACGGTTGGTAGCTCTCATCCTTTGCACAATGAAAGCTAAGCACTAGTGTAGTCTAAACTTGTCATTCTCTTATCTTTACAGGAGATAATGCAATTCACAACAAGAAATGAGATTACTCAGCTGACCCTGCAGTGGCCAGAGAAGATGACATTCTCAACCAAAGCGAGGAACCGAGTGACAGGGGAGAGGATGGTCGCGGCTCTGGCCTGCATGAAACTGAAGGTGAGGCTCACTCTTTGGAAAACTACTGTGTCTTCGCCTACGTGTTAGAGCTGTGTAAGCATGTGCATCGTGTCACCTCCTCCAGGAGCTGAAACTGTTGGACAGTAACAACAAGCCGCTGAGTCACGTCAAGTACCACCAAGCAAAGGTGAAGGAGCTTGCAGAACAACAAAGACGCCCCGTCCCCCTGGAAATCCCAGACTACCTGAAGGAGTCCATAAAAGAGTACCAAACACAGGTCAGTCTTCACCTCATGTGAGAAAGATGGAGGGAATTCAGAGCTTTTCTTATTACATAGGCGCACTACAGGGCCAATAAAGAAATGGTTTTCCAACTTGACTGACCTTGCTGTGAACTACACTCCAGGAAGATTAGTTAAAGCAACAGATCCATGAGTTTCATGGCATATCAATTCAGTTTTATGTATATAGCACCAAATCCGTAACTTCCTAAGATATTTTTCATATAGAGCAGGTCAGGATTGTACTCCTTGTAAAATTGATGCTGAATCATTGAAAAAAGGTTGATAGTAATATGATATTTTGCATCTCTGGATTAAAGTTAAGTGAATACAGCAGCAATTTCTTTAGCTTTCATTGCAACAATAGCGAGGCAACCAGTATAGTACAGAAATACTAATCCAAGCTTCTACAAGTACAAAACTAGCCTATACAAGCATTGCACATAAGGTCAACAATAGTCATTCAACTGAAGGTGATGCTTTTATTACACATTTTATTACAAATTATTATCCAACATCAGCACCACAAGCATGTGTTCTTGTGGCTGAATGGTAGCAATTCACTGGCCATTCACTGCTTCCCTGAAGTGTGGATAAAGTGCCATCTAAATGCATATGGTTTTGGCTTCAGATGTTCATCATTCCCATAGGGTTGTAATGTCTGAGGGTCCACATACTTTTGGCCATTTAGTGATGTCTTAATGTCAAAACTAATGCCTCATCTTTGTAACAGTACCCAGTGGAAGAAGAAGTGCAGAAGGTGTGGGAGGAGAAAGAGGCGAGAGAACAGCAGACGGTACATGAGGAGGAAGATGAGGTCTTCGTGACAGACGCCATCACAGGCATGCTGTACAGGCCTCTGTCTGAACGGGAAGTCAAGAAGCTCAGTTACCACCTGCAGGAAAAATGGGAGAGAGCAAACCCAGTGCTGAGTGTGGAGCTCCCAGTCGATGCCCACCGTCAGCGGGTGGTCTCAGCAGTGCAGTCCTCCAGGGTGGTCGTGATCGCTGGCGAAACGGGATGTGGGAAATCGACCCGAATTCCCCGATTCCTGCTGGAGGAGTGTGTGAGAAGTGGCAGGGGGGCTGAGTGCAACATTCTGGTGACCCAGCCCCGTCGGATCAGTGCTGTGTCTGTGGCCCACCGTGTCGCTCAGGAGATGGGTCCAGATCTAAAACCCTATGTGGGACATCAGGTAGATGCAGTTTTATGCTATACTGTATTTGTTACTAATAACAGTTTTTATTGCAATATAGCCAATATAGCACCTTCTATTCTGTAGTGATTTGTGGTTATGGTAGAAGCAAAAATATCAGAACACTTAACAACAAAATGAATGGTACCTTTTGATGGAAATTAATTAATTAAAATCGTATTCTGAATTACGATTCAGAATACTATAATTAGTAACATCAAATTGATTATTTTAACCAAGGTAACCATACTGAACATGAATTCAGTACAAAAACTAGGTCATTCTTCTCTGTTCGTAGGTCAGACTTGAGAGCAAACCACCAGAGCACAATGGAGGATCCATGCTCTTCCTCACGGTGGGCATCCTGCTGAAGAAGCTGCAGTCAAACCCGTCCCTGTTGGGAATCAGCCATGTGGTGGTGGATGAGGTTCACGAGAGAGACATCAACACAGACCTGCTGCTGGCTCTGCTGCACTCCAGCTTAGAGAAAAACCCCAACCTACGAGTGGTGCTTATGAGTGCTACTGGGGACAAGCAGAGGTTCGCTGAGTACTTTGGAGGCTGCCCAGTGGTAGAGGTGCCTGGGTTCATGTACCCAGTGAGGGACAGATACCTGGAGGATGTGCTTAAAGAGCTAGGACGCCTACTGCCAGTCCAGCAGACAGCGGAGTCAGAAAGGAAGGTGAGGCTGGAGATTTGTGTTTAATTACCTTCGGATTCATCCAAGTTTAGTTTTATGTTTCCTTTGTCCTTTTGTCTCATGGATTTGTATTGTATCCTGTTTAAGGGACGAACACGCGATATTGCAACAGATGTAGATTTAGTAGCTGACGTAATCGAGCACATTGACCGACATGGACAGCCAGGTAACTAACAGTCTGCATCTCATCTTTTTTCTTCTTTTTTTTTTTTTTATGAAGCAAGATGATGGCCCTGAATCATATGTGTTAAACATTCTTTCTCCTCATGTTTGCAGGTGCAGTGTTGTGTTTCCTCCCTGGATGGCAGGAAATCAGGGCTGTTACAGAGAAACTCATGAAGAGGCCCCACTTTTCCTCAGGCTCACAAATGATCTTGCCATGTAAGAGAGTACAGACCGATTTACAAAGACGGGTCTTATTCCTGCAAGTATAGCAGTATACAATTTATGATTTTATTTGTTGTTTTCTTTCAGTGCACTCTAGTTTATCAGTACAAGACCAGCAGGCGGTGTTCCAGCACCCCCAAGTGGGCCAGAGGAAGATTGTTCTCACGACTAACATTGCTGAGACTTCAATCACCATAGATGACATTGTCCATGTGGTGGATACAGGAACTCATAAAGAACAGAATTATGATCCGCTGACTAAGGTTAGTGTCAGAGTGTCTGCAAAGATCTGAAAAAACTATGGCCTGCGATCTGTTGTATTTTCCCATGGAATCTAGTTAAAGGGCACAAATCAGTTGTTTTTGGTATTCCAGGTCTCCTGTCTGGACACAGTTTGGATATCTCATTCTAATGTCACTCAAAGAAAAGGCAGAGCAGGGCGTTGTCAGCCAGGACAGTCCTACCACCTTTTTTCACAAAAGCAGCTGAAGACCATGACTCACTTCGCCATCCCTGAGATTCTGCGCACCCCACTAGAGAATTTAGTAATGCAAGCCAAAATCCACAGTCCGAAGTGCAAGGTATTGAACGTGAACAATGCCTGTATTTCTTTTGCCTGTTGTTTTGTATATTTCCGACCTATGAAATGATAGGCTTTGTCATTTCTTTTTGTGTGTAGGCTGTAGATTTCCTGTCTCAAGTGTTGGACAGTCCAGAGCCACAAGCTGTGAAAGTTGCTGTCCAAAATCTTGAAGACATTGGTAAGTGACTCACAACTACTTATGTTCTGGACTGTGTGGAGGCTTTCGCGTCATCATCGTGTGTGTCTGACTTCACATGTTCAATGTGGGATTAAGCTGTCAGTGTTTGCCTTTTTAGGAGTCCTGGACAAGAATGAAAACCTGACTCCTTTAGGAGAGTCTGTTTCGTATATGTCATGTGACCCTCGTCTGGGCAAATTGCTGGTCCTGGGTGTTATGTACAGATGCGTACTGCCCATGCTGTCAGTAGCTGCCTGTCTGACCAGAGACCCATTCCACAACAGCCTGCTGGACAGAGCACAAATTCTCAAGGTGAGATGATTTAACACTGGCCTGGAAAAAAAAAAAAGCACAGCAATGATATCATGTACTAATTTGTTTTATCTGTGTTCTGTTTGTCCAGGTGAAAGAAGCTCTGAGCAACTCGGACTGCAGTGACTATTTGGCGTATATTAGAGCTGTGTTAGGCTGGAGGAAAGTTCAGCAAGAGGGGGACAGAGCAGACCGAGAGGACTATCTGCACAATCACACTCTGTCCGGGTCAAGCCTTCGATTCATCAATGGTTAGTTTGAAGCACACACTCATTTTTTTAGATATCGTCTCATTACTCAGGACTCATTGTTGGGATTTCAAATTACTTCTTGTAAACCTTTTTCTTTCTTTTTTTTTTTGCCGCAGGTCTCATTTCTCAGTTCAGCTCGAACCTGCAGGAAGCCAACCTGGTGTCTCATGCGAATAAGTGCCTGCAACATACTTCTGCTTACAACGAGCACAGCAACCAGGATGAGCTGCTAAAAGCTGTCCTGCTGGCTGGATTCTATCCCAACCTCATTCAGGTACATGGCCAAAAAGGAGTCTATCATGTTTGCACCTTCCTGGGTCAAATCCCTCTTTAGATGTTCCAGCATGACACATTTACTTTACACTTTTTTTTTGTTTTTTCCAGGTGAAGAAAGGTGGGGTAACCAAAGGACGCTTTCGCCCAAACAGTCTGTGTTTCCACACAGTCAACGGGCCAGTAGAGCTTAAGCGATCAGTGAACAGGTTTGAACATTGCTGTATCATTGGCTACAGCAGATACTTACTTTCCTAGGGCGTATGTATACTTATTGTCTTCCTTTTGTGTTGTAGAGGAAAAAAGGAGCTTCCAAGTCACTGGTTGACGTACTTCAGCGCTGTCAAGTCCAGCGGGGTTGTTTTCATCAGAGACTCTTCTGTGGTCCATCCACTCGCCCTGCTGCTTTTCACAGACTGTGATATCTTAGAGACAGGTAGGAAATGTACTGCTCTCCATAAAAATGAGATTATTAAGGAAAGGAACTGGTGTTTGTAGGTGGGAGGAGTTATTATTTTGCCCTAAAGCAGCTATAATCAATATTTTTATAACAATGTGAAAGGGTTCAGTGGTAGTGATAAAGTTGTGGAGAATAATCACCCAAATCTGCAGCTCCTCTTGACTTTACTGTGCTTTAAGTAAGTTTAACTCATTTAAATGTCTGGTCCACACCTTTTGCTGTTTAGATCCACTCTCTTCACTCTCATAACATTGTCATCTGTTACAGCAGGCAACTGTTTTCCCCGAAAAAGCTCTAAAAACCCACTGAACACAACCTGCTCAGCACCAAAGAGTAGACAGTCACTGGTAGCAACTATCTAGTGAACATAGTGGAGTGTTCATCAGTTTAAGAGCCAGATATTTCCCTCAGGAAATGATAGAGACTACAACCAAAGCTAAAGAAATAAACATTGGACTTGGCATTCTTAAGGTGGACAGAAACATGAATCTGAATAACTTATAATGTTTCTCCATAATAAGCAACTGACTGCTAACCAGTTTGCCGGATCAACTTGTTTCCACTGCCCCCAAGTGGCCAAAAACAGTTATTGCAGGTTTAAGAGCTCGGCAGTATGTGAGAAATATTCTGATTTAGGAATTATTTTTGCAATTCAGCTTACAAGGCTGCCAGTAAAGTGTAGCTGCATCAGATCTTATATTAGAGATGTAGGCAATGATTTAAGGGTCTGGGACGACTACGCAGCCCTCTATGCTGACTTGAAATACAGTGTTACTACCATGTAAGTTGGTGTAAAAAGCTGGCTATTGCTTTTGTATTTCCTTTCTGGAGTTCTTAGAAACCTGTTTGCCACTTTAATAGCACATAACTTAATTTCTCTCAGGACTGCACAACAAAACATTTTGCTCAAAACAATAACTATACAAAAAATGATGAGGTGTACTTCCATATTTATCACCCTCCTTAGATTTCCAGAATTGCAGAAAATATTCTTCTCTTCCTAAGTAATTTCCTGTCTTTTCTCTTTTGTCCCAGTGAAAGGAGACAAAGTGGAATTATCACTTTCTGGACACACTCTGGTGCGCTGTGAGTTGTCAGTTGACACCTGGGAGCTGCTGTGGGATCTACGCACTTCCATGCAGGCCATGCTGTATCGCAACTTCAGCAATCCCAGCAATGCAACCATCCACTTTGCTCAAGATAGAAAGCTCATCTCATTACTTGTGGAGCTGCTCAACAATACAAATTCAAACCCTTTCATTCAGAACAACAGTGACAGTGAGGTGGACTGATGATCTAAAACGTGATGTATGTTGAACCTGGCTGGTACTGAGGAACCAAGGTGGAACACGGTATCTCCATTGTATATTTTTTTATTTAAAGAATGTTTGAGTCACTATACTATGTGCTGATTTAGAAACACATACTGTCTGCTAGGATTATCTTTCAGGTAAATGATAAACTGTGATGTGAGGAAATCCATTGGTTTGGATTTTGGACTATGGTTTACTGTTCATAATGATTTGCTTTTGGAATAGCAAAAGTGGAATTTTCTAATGAGTAAAGAAAAATAATTGTTAAAAAGACTGCATGCAGTGCAGGATGTCATATTTATTGCAATAAATGTTCACATGCTAACCTCCAGAAACTGATCAGATCCTTTTTATTGTTTATGAATTATTCAACTGCAGATAGATGGAAGGGAGAGAACTGACTTTTTTCCCCCTTAAGTTCCCATTGTTTAGGAAAAATCCTTCATAAACTGTGTGTGAAAGCAGGTCAGGCGTCTTAGTAATTCTTCCATCATGACCTCAGAGGTCATAATGCAAAATCTGCAGAGAGAAAAGTATCAGTGTTCACTTACATTTAATGTTCCATGAACTAATACTAATAAAAAAACATGTTTTTGGTGTAGTAAATCCTAATTTGTAGTTGTATTTATAATTAAAATGTTTGATTGATATGCTATAGGTATTATACCTGATGTGGTGGGTGCCTTCCTTTTGTCCGTACTCACAACCAGGACTGATTAGCACGCCAGCCTCCTCTAGTAGTCTGATACAGTAGAACGTATCTGGTTGCAATCCCACCTCCTGAAATAAGCAAAACAAACATAACCAGCTCTAAAAAGTTTTGAGCGATACTCCATCGTCTAATGATTATATATCTCCGGTTTTCGGAGTATACTTTGATGAGATAATGTTGTAACCTTGGCTTTCTGAATGGCTTTAGGTGGAAGATGCAGTCTGGGAAATGCAAATGCTCCTCCTTCCACTGGTTGGCAGCAGAAACCCGGCAGACTGTTTACAACCTCAAAGGCTCTCTTCGCATTATGAACCAGCATGGTCCTGATGTTTTGTGTCTCCTGCAAAAGAGAGTTAAAGGCAAGAAGAAAAATGCTCAAACTTGGGCTAGAGTAGAGGAAGGCCATTTCTAAGTCTACTAACAAAAACAGGCTGTTAGACAATGCAATATCTCTGGTCTCACCACATTATAAAGGGGGTATGAGGGATCTCCTGGTTGTGGAGGGTTGATCATCAGATCCAGAGCAATCTGACCCAACACAGGTGCACAGGCGTCTTTCGAGAACAGCTTGTAGATGTATTTCATAACATTGGGGTCCAGATTTACCAGCTCCACATATCCACCACGCATACCACACCTGGTGGGAGAGAGAAGAATCCAACTGTTTCCAAGGTCAAGAATGAATCTAAACCTAAATTATATCCTAAATTAAAGTTCCCCTCCATTAAAAAAATATGTTTTTCTCCTACAGTTGAATGTTTGTGCATCACTGTGCAAAATGATGTATGTGCAGCAACATTCATCTTCTTAAAGTGGAAAGTTTCTCTGTGCTCACTGAAAATTGGATATTAAGGGGGGGGGGGGTGTACATCTATTTAGATTGGTCTAAATTACAACTCAGCCTTCGTCTTAGGTCTGCAACTCTTCTGATCACCTAGCATAAAAGAGTGGATGCACTTCAGACTCCCATTAGGCCAGAAAACTCACTCTCCCATGAAGCCTTTGGATGCTGAGTGGAAGGACGCCAGCTCCACTGTGTCCGAAAGAGGAGGGCCCATCTCAGCCAAAACCCTCTTGTAAGAGACAAACTCAGTATTTTCCGCATAAACACAGCCCTGATAGACCTGTGGAGGAGAACAGACAGAAAAACCAAGCACTTATTTACATGTTTGTTAATGTTTATGAATTTCTCATCATGCCTTGTTAGACGACTATGCTTTATGACATCCACCTCATCGGCCAGAAGGAAGAGCTTCTTCTCTGAGACAAACCGGATCACCTCTTGAATTGATTTTCTGCTTTGAAGATGACCTACGGGCAACATGGCATGAAAAACAACCATGTGAGACATATTCTTTGGTACAAAAATATACCTAGGTGTTCTCCGTTCTGGTGAGATTTTACCACCTGAGGGATTTCCAGGGTTGATGACGTACACAGCTACAGGGTTACAGACTCCCTTGGCAGATTCCAGCGCTCGATGCAGCTCCTCCACCTGCAGCTCCCAGCCCTGCTCCTCACTGAGGTAGTAGGGAACGACAACTGCTCCCACCCCCATAATGGACAAAGTGGTAGTGCAGTGACATGGCACTGGAGTCAGCACGCCTGTTTTTGGTGAACTCTCGCTGTTCACCAAGACTTTGAGAATGTTCTAATAAGCACAGTTAAAAAAAATGGTGTTAAATTGAAGATGATGATGTTGGTTGGAACATTTAGAGTATGTGAGTAATATTGATCGTTACCTCGAGTGCCCACTGTGAGCCTGGGCTGATGAATATGTTTTCAGGGTGAGAGGGAGCTCCGCCGTCTCGTCTCGTTATGAATTCAGAGACTCTGTGGACTACTTCTGCTATACCCGCTGTAGCAGTATAAGAGCCTGAAGAAATAGCACAGATTCTGATTAACTCACAAAACACACACACTGATAAGAAAAGCTGAGATGACACTGTAGAATAGATATCATTATTATTGTTGTCTGTCTCTATTACATGCTACCATTGTATTATTGTCTATTTCTATTATATACACAGTAGGACTGGAACCATTAGTCAATTAATGGATTAGTCATCAACTATTAAATAAATTGGCAACTACTTTAATAATCAATTGATTGTTTTGAGTCATTTTTTTAAGAAACAAATTCCAAATTCTATGATTTCAGCTTCTCCAGAGTGAATATTTTCTGGTTTCTTTGTTCCTTTATGACAGTAAACTGAACATCTTTGGGTTGTGGACAAAACAAGACATTTGAGGACTTCACCTTGGGCTTTGTGAAACAGTGATCAACATTTTTATACATTTATATGGACAAAACAAGTAATTGATTAAATCAAGAAAGTGATTCACCCATTAATCAGTAATGAAAATAGTAGTTTGTTGCAGCCCTATTTCATTGTATTGTATTATCGTATTGTAATGTGTGAGTATTACATATTATTATCCTATACTGCATTATATGCAGTTTATATAAACAGTATTATTGTTTCTACAACACTGTATATACTGTACTGTAGTTCTGTTTTTTCTGGTCTTTTGGGCAGATATAGCTGATTTATTATTTTTAATCTCTAATTTCATTAATGTCTCACAGGCTCACCAACAATCCCAAACCCCAAATTATCCAATTTACAATAATGTAAAACCAAAAAAAGTGGGAAATTACCACATTTCAGAACCTGGAACAATGAATTATTTGTTTTGGTTTTCCCTTGAAAAATAACCGAAACTATAAATGTATTAATTTGAATTACTAAAAAGAAACAATCTACAGTTTTCATGACTTAAAGGGGCCACTTACCCAAATTCTAAATAAATCTCACTCCTGTAGCTCTAGTAGGCTTTGAAATATCTTTTCCTACACCAGCAGGTTTAGATTTGTTTTTCATTGTGAAATGTTTAGACAACTATTGGGTGGATTACTGTGCAATTTGGTGCATATCTTCATGGTTAAATATGGCTATAAATTACAGTTTGCATTTGTTTACAGTAAGCAGCAGTAAAGCCTCACAGAGCTGACGCAAGATGCTGAGTCTTGCTTATGCTGCGAGAACTTAAATTCAGTTCACCACCAAAACTATCTGCTTGGCCAGATATTAAGAGAAGTCAGTAGAAAAGTAGAAATGATTTTGTAATTTGAGTGCGCTGACCCTTGAATATGTTTGTTGTAATACCACACACACAGCCCTTACCTATACTGCCTCCAGCACATTGCCCAAGCAGCCTTTGAGCCCTCTGTCTGACATCCACTGGCAGTTTGTTGCTGTTCACAAGCTCAGGGTAAAGACACGCTGCAAGAACCTGCAAAAGAAGACACACACAGTAAGACTTTAATTCATAGGAAGGTGCATTATGTTGTTTTAATGCAGCTTAAATATGAGTTGTCTTTGAAGGTCACAGATTACCTGTCGGACAAATGACAGAGGCTTCACACCTGCCCTGTGTGGGTCACCCCAGGAGACATCTATCACTTCACTGTATGGCTTTCTCGCTCCCTGTGGACAGGTGAGTTTAAAGCAGAGGTTCCAGATGTCACAACACAGATTGGACAACAAACTCTAGATACTCTTTACCTTTCTGAGCTCTTCCTTGATCTGGCTTGCTTGTCTGGCCAGGACTACATACTCCAACTGTTTCATGTTCTTTACATTTGGACTAATCTCCTGCAGGACAGACATCTTTGTAATTCTTCTTCACTTCTATCAGAGCAGCGGCTGGTGTTGAGCTGAGCTGAGCTGAGCTGAGCTGTTTTAATAACTTGCTGCAAGGTAATTATTTGCACGTAGACAGGATTTCTAGTTAAAGATATACATGGAAGATATGTGGTAATCCGTGCCTTATTAACAGACATCAGTTTAGGGACAGCTTGCTAATAGCAGGGTGTTGTTTTATTGAATTCACTGATTTACAACAAGAACTGAATTAAAATATACCTTACTGTTATATATTAACTTTTTGCCCTGACTGTGCATGACACCTGCTAAAATTACAAGAACCTACTCTCAGACTACTTTTTTGAGTTGGATAAAACCGGATCTTCTCGCAGGGATGTTCATTACAGTAAACTCAACTACTGCAATGTATTCCTCTCCTGTGTTCATAAGAAGTTTATAAATCAATTACAGCTCATACACAAAGTTTTAACTGGCAGAAAAGCAAACAGCTTGCATCTAGAGTCCCTACACTGGCTCCCAGTCTTATATATTTTATGAGATTTATATTATATAGCTGATATGCTGCCAAAATACTTATATTACTGTACCATTAAAACTACAGTGCAGTAGCAGCAATCTGAAGTTTTTCAGGGTTGCAGAGAAGGGTCATTTATTATTTCAGCCTATTATTTGTGTGTTTTGGCCCTACATATGTAGAAGTGTTTAATTAATTTATTTTATTCCTTACTGATTGTCTTGCTTTTTTGCTGTTTTGTTGCTTTTTGTCTTCAGTGTGTGGAACAATAGAAAACCTGCTACTGCGTCAGGCCACCAGCTGGTACTGACTTTCATTGCCTTGCTGTTTTTCCTAATAAAATAAAATAAAATAAAATGAAAATTAAACTGTCTTTATTATATAGGTCCATTTGTTGATAATTGATGCTCTTTCCAGTAAAGAGACTTTAATAGTGTCTTTGTAGGTTACAGTCCAAAGTCATTGGAATAGCATAATATTTGTTTTACAGTGGCCTTCATGGCAATAGATTAATGGCAGTGCATCAATGTATTGTTTTAATAACTAACCTTCTAATAAATGTTTTTTTCCATACGTCTCATGAAGTGTCGCTACTTATTATTTCACCCCTATATCTGCAGATGGTAATGTTTAATTTCTTAGTTTTGTTGCTTATAATTTCTTGTTTTTATGCTATTTTATTGCTTTCTGAGCTCACTGTGAAAAATAATAATGACAGCTATTTCCCCCATTGTTCTGCTGTTAAAAAAAACAAAATAAAATGCAAATTATACATAATATTTTTATACCCTTTATATATATATATATTTTTGTGTCGTTTTTTTTTGTTGAGAAGTTCTTCATTGTGGCACGTATGTGAGGTCGGGACACGTTTCTCCACGGACATAAACAAGACACGTACCCTTCTACTTCCTGTTTTGTTTTTCTTTCGCTCCCTGTCTGCTCGGCTCGGGTCGATATGGAAGAATTTGCGAGTGGAGGAGACAACCACAGCCTGCCCGTGAACAAACGCGGTCTCTTCGGACGCTGGTGGACCGTATAGAGCAGAACAGACGCAGCGGGCAGCAGTAACACCTGCCGCGGGGCTTCCCTCACCCTCACCCCTCCTCTGGCTGTCCGCGACATGGCTCTCAGCTCGGGCGGCTGGGCTCCTCCAGCCCCGGTTCCTGCTTCGTCCCAGCAGCCTTCATGCGGCGGCCCTGCGCTGACGGCTTGCTGCAGTACTGTTTTAATGTCAGTCCGGGTTTCGGTGTGCCATTCCGGGATCCGGCCGCTGTGTCTCCCCGGAGCGGGCAGCGAGGCTCTGCGGCTACAGCTCAGCATGGACCCGAGCCGGGCCGGAGAGTTCCGACTGGCGCTGCGAGATACGAGCGGAAACCGCAGTGTGGTGAGATTTCACACGTACACCTGAGTGTTAGGACGGTGTGCAGGCGTTGCTCGCTTATAAGTGTTTATGATGAACCACCTTTACTGAATTGCAGACCCACTTTAGACCAGCATAGGCCTGTACACGCCATTTTACGTGGATCTCACCCCCGAATACACGCAGCTCACCATTGGGGATAAAACCACACCTGATTACACTGAATGCATGTGGATGTGAAGACACACAGCTGCCAACACTATCCAACACTTTCCTTGAAGTGTCACAAGGATCTGACTTTTAACAGACATCCAGCTCACATAGTGTAGCTCAGCAACATTTTATCCTTCTTGATTTGCTCCTTAACTGTACTCACCTGACAAGAACTCCAGTTTAGTCTTAATACTGTATAGTCTATGGTTTTTTGTTGTTTTTTTAAAGTTGTTTTTAAGTTACCAATACTGTAGTTAAGAGGGGTTTTTTTTAAGTTTCACTTTCATTTTCAGTCTTCACATTTAGTTTTATTAGAATTTAATACATCATCACCAGGGGGAAATCCTTAAACTGGGCATACTGGTAAACATCTGCAGTGAGACTTTCCTGGTATTTTTCAGCCTTGTGTTTCTCATATGTCGCCTGACAAGTTTATACGGATGTACCATCACACTTTTCGCCTCATGACATGTCGAAAGTCTCTGTTCGTTCCTTCAAACTCTCATCCACCCAACAGTGAGGCTGTGAAACCTGAAAAACTGAGATGTAACCTTTCTAAAGTGGTTGGATTTTGTAATTACCTCTCAGCTGTGGCTCCTTTGTTACATTTGGTGTGGTGGATAAAGCCTTTCCGTGAGATGAGGTAGAGTCGCTGACAGGCGTAAATGTGAATGTGGATGATAATGCAGATATAAATACCAAAGTGGAAGGGTAGTGAGCAGGAACAGGAAGTTTTGGCACCCCTGCACACCCACTTTCAGCACCTACCTAGATGCTCTACCACTCTAAGTACACCTGAGGCAACAAAACCTAGACTTACTGAGGAAGTCTGACAATATAGCTGAGTTTGACATGTCCTAATAAGCTTATGTACAGAGGAGAAAGCTTTATGATTTAGCTAACAACATACCATTCCTCTGGCACCCCCTTTAGGCCAAACTTTACTAGTTTTCCAACTAGAGGTAAAGTGTTCTCTCCATTTTTCATTCATCCAACAGCTTTGTTTGGTGCCATGTAATGAGCATTAAAGCCTTGCAGGAGTGTTACTTGTTAAAGGGGCACTCTATCCATTTAGAATAGAATATACTATATATAATATAATACACGTCCATGTAGGGATAATTGGTTTTGGACTCTGTCTTGCAGTTCCACAGAAGATAAAAAAAATATACTGCATAATATATATATTTTTTAAATCGATATCTCAGCAACACACAGCTTCTAAGGCACAGTTTGCACATACACATACTACACAAACCTATACACACCTTCTGTCAGTGGCAACATATCACATTATCTGTTTATGTGGAGGAGCGGTTTGTTGCGGTTCAGTCGGCTCTGGGGAACGCTGAATCTTCTACCAGAGGGTAAAAGTTGTGTTCTGTGCCTGTCTGATAATAGGCTGCTCATAAATTGTTTTAGCATTGCACTTTCCATAAAGTCTGGGAACCACAATTTAGACAAAAAAACGAAGGGTCAAATACTGACGCAGCAGAGGTATCCTGACTTTTAGTGTCAAGCTCCAAAAACAAAAAACTCAGTCCTATAATTCCCACAACCCAACTAAATAGTGTCTTTCACTAGACTCAGGTTAATTCCCACATCTTTCAAAAAAACACCAGTTCATTAAAATGTAATGATTAAAGACATTATACAGCTGTTTCCACAGGTTGAGTAATACTAAGGATGGATCGGATCCTCTATTCGCCATTGTTCTGATTATCAGATATGCTTTGTTTTTTTTTTTATCCGATTGCTGATAAAATAAATTCATTTTAAAATGCTCTGCTTTGGCTTTGATGCAGCTGCCTCTTTCTACCTGTAGTCACCACTCTGTAGTTACACATCTCGAGTAATGGCCTCTTAACACTGAAGGCACAGAGGGGGAAACAGAAATACTCAAGTACAAGTAGCTGAAAACTGTACAGACCCCTAAGTAATACTCCTTGTGACAAGTAAGCTGATCGTCATCTGTAAAATCGGTGGAGTGCTCCTTTAAATGGCCTCCTTTAGTACTTTTTGCTAAATAAATCAACATAAGTTAGTAAGAACTTGTGTCTGTGCTGCATGTTGTGTTTGTTTCCAATTGTTAAGCTCCTCCTTGTTATCACCCCAGGAACACTACAGGCACATAAGCATGTGCTTTTAATGGGGATCCTTAAATAAACAATAAACACGATAGAGAGGACACATGGGATCTCCACATAGCCACTGCTTGATGTTCCTAGGTTTTTGTAACTCCTCGGCGCGCTTTGCGGTCAGCTTTGTATTTGCTGCTCTGCCAACTCTGTTTTCTTTGTTGCGAACAGGTTTCATCACATTCTTGGCTTTTACAACCGCACTGCAGTTGCTTTATAATTAGTCTCTTTCCGAGCACATACTGCGCTTGTTGATTGAACCCCTCCAGAGGGCAAATTTATTCTCAGTTTTACAGCTGAGACGATGAGTTGTTTGACAGAAAATGAATCTGCAACTATTTTTGATAGATCTTCTTCGGTTGTGCAGCCATTTTTTAAGCAAATATTCCAAAGACGAAGATTTACTGCTTTTCCTCATTGTATCTGATTTTAAAAGGGGTATTTTTGGGACTTGGACTGTTGGACTTAATTATTTTCTTTGGCTTTTGTCTTTTTACAGACAAAATTCTGAATCAGTACTGAAAATAATCCTTTTGCAGCCTTACACATTTGCTAAACTAGGTTCAGTCTTTACACTGTTAATGTCAACTCTAAATAGATTCTCCAGGTCACATGAGGTAACTACAGTGCTACATCACTCTGTCACTGTGAGACACATTTCAGTTCACGCATGAGTTCTTTCTTCTCTTTCAGTATTATGGGTGATTACTGTCAATGACTACATCAGTCCCAACTGTAGACATGCATGCTTGATCGTGCCTAAAGCTGACCTAACGTTGTACTCTGCCTGTCTCGCTGCATCCTAACTTCCTTTGTTTGTCAAGTTCACTATGCGCCGTCTGCCTGAAATGTGAGGGGCTCGGAACCGGCTTTTCATCTCGGTAGAATCTCGAGTCAGAGAGATTTCCCCCTGACAATTGTGATGCTTCTTGATTTGCATGGTTTTCTTTTGATCCCTGCTTCTTTTAGGTCGTCTGTCTAAGCTGGCAAACTTAGCATACACAGTCGTATCAGAGTGTGTGTATATACGCACACCCTCTGGCAGGAGGCAAATCCCTCTTTAATGCTTTTTCTACCCACAACAGACTTCAGTGCTCTAATGATTCGCTCCTCTGCCACAGTAAATGTTAGAGTGCAGATTGTGAGTAAAATCTGCCAAACTCACTCGTTTCTGAGTCCATCTCTGTCAGAATGAGAATTTCACATGCTTTCTTACGTATTTCGGGGGGGTTATTTCTTTTAGGGCCGCAACTAATTATTATTTTCCTTGTCAGTTAATCTGTAGATTATTTTCTAGATTGAGCAATTAGTTGTTTGGTCTATAAAATGATATTCTTAAATGTTGTTTTATATGTTTTAATATTCACATTTAAGTTTAATTTAATAGTTGACTAACTAATCAATTACTTGTTGCAGCTGTAATTTCTTTTCTTATACTTTAATGCATTTTGTACGTTTTTTTTTAAATGTAAAATTTTATGGTTTTGCAACATAATTTGTCTTAGAAAACATTCACTAGTTCCAGCTCTTTAAATGTGAAGATTTTTTACTAAATTGAATATATTTTGGTTTTTGGATTGTAACCTTGACCTCGGAGACATTTTAATGGCCTTTTTTTTTTTTTGATTTCATAGACTAAACGATAATCAATTAATCTGATCGCAGAATGACAATATGCCTTGAGACTGACTATTGTTTGTTGTTGTTTGTTTCATCCTCAGTTCATTGCAGAGTTTGACCTGCGCTCGGTGCAGTATGAGGTCAAATCTCCTCGCTGCCATGAGATGCGTCTTGCTGCTCCACCCCACGACTGCATCCGCTTCAACTTCCGCTGCGACCGCGAGGCCGAGGAGTGGGCCACGGTGGTGATGTCATCACTAAGAGAGGCACATAGAGGTTGGTTTGACGACTAGATAAGATCATTCATTATTATTTATTTATTTATTTATTTATTTATTATTTTAATTCGTTTTAGAGAAAAAGAAACAATCTACACTCATGGTGCCTGTTTAATAAACTAGACAACAAATAAAAACAGGAGCGTCCTGGTGGCCAAACACACGGTGGGCCAGCTGTGTCCCCAAGTGAAAAAGGGATAAATAAGTAAAGTAAAGTAAAAGTTGGATAAATTGGTGTCCTTAGATATAAAATAAAGGGACCAAATGGCTGTTCATCCCTGTTTCAAAGTGAAACGACATGTGCCATGGGTGCTAAAAGACTAAAAAGAGCTATCAAGTCTCCTTTCGTCAGGCACAGTTACAACAGGAATCTTTCAAGGTAGATTCTTAGATATACTGAGGAATAATTAGTTTAAGTGTGATGTGTGTAACCTTAAATACAAAGGTAAGAAAATACTGTGACCTGAATAGAAAAAGGAATGTACTGATACTTTCGGGTTGGGCCTTTATCAGCCAGGTGTAGCTAGAATAAATAGTGATATCAGTTGATATTGCTGTGTGCTGACAACCACGTGTTTAAAGCACTTTTTCTGTTTCTTTGACAGTTGCAAATATTAACACATGTGAATCGGATGGCAGACACAACCACACAGCAGCAGCCATGGAGCAGTGGAGCTCAGCCTCGCTGCCGCTCACCGGTGGGTTTATCTCTGTCCAATGTGTTTTCCTCTTTCTTTATCCTCCATCCATGCTCTAAAAATGTCAACATTTTGATTGCTACCTCCTTTTTGTTTTTAGAGGAGCTTTGCTTGGAGCTCGCCAGGGCGATTGAAGCCGGTGACACTCAGGCCGCTTCACAGCACGCATCCGCTCTGGCTCAGCAAAAAGCAGCACTGACGATCCAGCTGTCTGAAAAGAACTACGCTGACGGAGAGATCAGGTGGGAAAGGAAAAGTGTTGAGGGTATATTCAAGGTTGCAATGACTGATATGCTTTTTAGGTTTTTCTTAACATGTAGTGCCTTGTCTGTGTTGCAGTTTATCTGTCGTGGTGGAGGATGTTTCGTCATCCTGTTGTGTCACGGTGAAAGTCTTTCCTTACATGACTGTGGCCGCGCTCAAGCAACAGGTTAGAAAACTGTAAATTAACCAATAATTAAATGGGTGTAATTCATTGGCTAACTCCCACCGCTCTTCTTCAGGTGTTTCTCGAGTACGGCTTCCATCCTCGCGTGCAGCGCTGGGTGATCGGTCAGTGCTTGTGCACCGAGCCAAGGTCACTGGCCTCCTACGGGGTGCAGAAGGACGGCGATACGGCGTACCTCTACCTGATCTCTGCCCGACAAGCGCGCATCACCCGCCAGCTGTTCCAGCAGGACCTGGAGAGCGCCCTCCTCGCCCCACCTCTCCCGCCAGGCAACGGCCCCACATCCCAAGACTGGAGGGGTTACAGCACCCTACCCTCGAGGCTACCCCACAACAACCTGGGTGAGTTCAACAAATATTTTCGTTCTGTAACGAATTAGGTCTAAAAATGCAGACATGCAGACCCAGACAACGCAGCAGCACAGTGAGCCTAAACATGCAGCCAAAGCAGCAAAGGAGTTTTCGAGCCAAACACTGCAGTGTTCTGCGCTGGCCAAATTAGTCACCTGACTGAAATTCATGTGATCTCACAGTATGTTTGACTTCCTGAATACCAGACTGAAGGCAAAAAATTCCTGAAACAAGAAAGATCTGATACTCAGCAGAACATTACCAGAGATATTTCAGTCTGTCAATACTGATGTTTTAAATAACATGGCTTAATTTAGTTTTGCAAAAATGATACAAATAAGTTTTCTTTATTTTTTTTGAATTTGTGTAGTATTGTATTATTGACTTTATTTGACTTAAAGCAGAAACACCAGACCAAATATGTCTGAATAAGACGTATTTTGTCTGGTGTTTCTGCGGTTTCCTTTTTAGCAGACTGGCTTTGAAATCAACTGTATTACTCATAATAAACGTTTTGTCTACTTCAGGGAGTACAGGTGGAGGAAGCGACAGACCGAGTGATATTAAAGATGTTCTCGACATTGAGAATCTGCAGCTGAGTGATCATACCAATAAAGCCAATAAAACACAGGTATGTTATATTCTGTCACTACACACAATAGGACTAATCTAAGGCATAGTTAGATTTTAGTGGGAATTTAACTTCTGCTCCTACATACATCCTGTTATTTTTATTTTTATTTATTTTTTTGTGTGCAGTTTAATGGTAAGCTGAAGTTTTTGACCACTTGTAGCAATGGAGCAGTGATTTTAAGAGTGGCTTGAATGAGAGTGTGCACGCTGGTGCTGCTGGTCCACACTGTTCCTATAATCGTCAGTTGGTGGCAGTACCATGCCAAGAAAGACAAGGAAACAGCTTTAAAAAAAAAAAGCAATATTATTTTCACTTGCATGCTCCTTCAGCCAAATCTGATGACAAAAAAAAATGCTTCTTTTGTACTATAGTTCTCAACAGTTGTATCTGCAAGCTTGTCTGTCTTGGGTAAATGTTTAAAACCGTATAAATATTATTTTTATATCATTATTAATATCTTATATAATTATTACATCCCCTCAGCAGACAGAATGGGCTTGCCCCTTATGCACTTTCATCAACAAGCCGTCCCGTCCAGGTTGTGAAATCTGTGCTACAGCCAGACCTGACACACACATCCAGCAGGTATTGCACAAATATCTGAAAATCAATACTTTTGTACTACTCTTTGTGCCATTTTCCCTCACCGACAGTCACCTCTTTTTCTCTTTTTTAATATTCTATTACAAAGGAGAGAGGAAGGAGAGAGGATCGAGGGGAAACTGGTTTAAGCAGCAGCAGCAGCTGACTGCCCATCATCGCTGTCTGGTCGCCGTGTCTCACTCACTCACTCACACACACACACGGAGTGAGGATGCTAAATCCGCCGCGTACATGTTGACAAAATACTCACACAAAGACTGTCAAGTGCACTGAGAGTCCTCTGACAGCTGGCCGGCTGCTGAAGACCGGAGCGTTTGAAGCACTGTAGCATGACGCAGAGCTGCACTGGCCGAGGCTCGGTTGATGAACTGCAGACAGAGAGAGCAGCTTCGACCGTCGATATGGACGTGACCATGACATACAAATGAATTTGGCCTGACCTCTTTGTTATTTATTTTACAGGGTGTATGGTGCAAACAACACAGACGGTCTAATATTTATTTTAGATGAGAGACATGATTTGCATTTGATTGCAGCTGAAGATGAGGGGACTTTCAGTTTCTGCCAACTGTGAAGTGAGAGGAAAGTTGAAGCCTTGTGCAATACCCTGCTCTGTTTTGTTAGTGGGTCATCTGTTGGTGCCATAAAAAATGTTGGAAGCCATGGCTGAGAATAGACGGTGTGTTTACAGGGTTGTCAAGTGCTTTTATTTTTTTATAACATTGTATTAAGTGTATTATTTTTAACAAGATGCATTGAGTAATTGATGTACATTTTAGCAGATGATCGAATTTTACTCAATTCCCTCTGAGCTGTGACAGCAATGGAATGATTTGTTTTCAGTACATAATACTGTAAAAACTTGCATTACCTGAATAAACATAATGAATCTAAACAAATCCTGTTTTGCCTATTGAGTGATTCTCCCTAATGGACAGATTTTAAGTGCAAGACTTAAAGAAGAAGGGTAATTTTAACACATGAAGTTCAGTTTACTCAGGCGGGGATATGCTTTTATAATCTCATCTGTGGCTGTCGAGGACATTTTACAAAGTCTAAGAAAATAACAGCATCTTGGATTGTGCTTGAGATTTAAAATTTTTAGAGCGTTTGAAAGATGTGGGTCAGATAACTGTTATCTAAGTTCCTGACGTTTGTGTCAACATCCAAGTCATAACTACGACTGGGAAACATCAAACAAATATGGAGGGCTCATGTCAACCAAATTTTGTTCATCGTAATTAAACACAAATTTAATGTCATATTGTCAGTATTTTAATTGAAACATGACCAACTCTCGTCCCAGCTCTAGCATCCATCCCATATCACAGCACCGCAGCATTAACCAGGGAGGGGGGGGTACCAAAAGACACTATTGAGATGAATTGTGGGAAATGTAGGATCCAGTGTTTGACTTCAAGTCTCAGCCACAGATTATTGCATTTTTACCATTCTTTTTTCAGTGTGTCTCCTTGAGTCTGTAAACTTAAACGCACCCTTTATGGAGTTTCTGAGCATCAATGGCGTTGTTGAGCAGATTTTCTGAGTGTGTCCCTAGAGAAATAAATGCATTCATCACATTTGTTAGACCTCAAGGATACACACAATGTACTTTGGTGACTAAAACTGAATGTAAACGTTACTGTTCATTGTTCACAACAGAACTTTACAGGGCACCTTTAATGAAAGTGCAATTCTAAATCACTGACATGCACATTTAATTTCTTTGTGCAGCACTTTCATCATGGTGTTGATACTAGTGCATTTTGCTAAACTAGTTGTCATTAATAGCTACCACCCTTTGCGCGGGTTCAAGTTGTGTTCCATATTTTATGTTCAACGCCCAATGTAAAGATCTTTGAGTGAATTCATTTTTGAAGTCTTTTAATTTTGCATTTATAAATATGAAATAAACATGTTCCAAATAAACTTATCAAAACAAGTATAAAAATATTAGATGTTGTGATGGCTTGTTGCAGATGTACAGACATAAGGAAGCAGACTACAAACCAAACAGGTAGTTTCTTCCATTTGAACAGCTTTTTCTCGTTATATCTGTTAGTACAAACCATGCTGACACGACAGAATCATTCATCTTTCATCCATCACCATCCTGCCTGATAAAAAAAAAGGAGCTAAGAAAAACAGTGCAGTAACTTTCGTTATGTACCACAAATAAAGAATACCGCAAAGAAATCATTAAACCAAATTCTTATACAGATAGCAAGTCAACCGTGACATTTATAGTTACTTGTGAAAAGATCTTCCCCTATTTCACTTATTTGTAAGAGTACGGTACAAAACAGTCCACTCAGCTTTGTTTTCAAGAAGGTTTTAAGAATAAAATACTTGGAGTTGGGGAATCACTGCATTATTTTCAAGTCAACCATATTTCTCTTCTTTTCCAATCTCTCCAGTGGATTTAACTGTCATTCACATTTCCCACAGTGAAGACAAACCTGAGAACACCTCAGAGGGTTTTTCTGCCCATGAAAGCCTTCAGTAGTCCTGTATGACTGGCGTTTACTTCCAGAAGAGGATGTTCCAGAAAAGCAGCCAGCAAGGATAGACCAGCAGGGCTATGAGCGGGTAGACCAGAGAGCCGTACAGGAAGTGGTCCAGGATGCCCTGCGAGATGACTGACAGGTAGAGCAACCAGCCTTCCTGGAAGCTGACTGGCACTTCCTGCAGCTCTTGGAAGAAAAAGACGGAAAAGAGGAGCGTGCAGGCTGGGCTGAGGATGACTAGGATGAAGGCGGATAGAACCCTATGGGAAGAAGAAGAGGAGAGCGAGGTTTTACTTTGAATATTCATTCGACTGTGGCAATACAGAGCTACACTGTGAATACAAATACAGGTGTATTACTTTGGTACGTGGGGTGTGATGAAGGCGGCCACAGGCACCAGGGTGATAGCAAGGATGAATCCCAGGGAGAAGTTGATGAGGGCGGTGCAACCCAGCAGCACGGCCAGGTACAGCACAGCCACCAGCTTCAGCACCCTCCAGCCCTGCTCCGTCCCCTCGCCCGACAGGAGCCTTCAATAAAACAGCACAACAAAACGGCTCACTCTCCCGCATCCCAGCGCTCTTAAAGTTGTACAAGTTTCCCACCGTCTCAGCTAGCTCTGTTCTTTGCGGTCTTGGTAAATGCTGTGCGCGTTATTAAGTAAGTCAATAAAGTTTGGAACTTGTTATATGATTTTCAGGAATCATTTCAAAAGCCTCTGGTTGTCCATCACTCTTTATAAACCTAAGAAAAGAACTTCAAGTTGTAAGGTAAATGTGTAAAAAGACTGAATAAAATGTGTGAACAAATTATATCAAACACACAGACTTAAAGCCAAAAATCAAATCAATGCTTAAATGTGTGTGTGTGAGTACTTCAAAGTCACACATAGTTGGAACTTTTCTGCTTTTAATCTGTTCTCAAATGTTCAGAAAAGCAGTTAATCTTTTTTCAGATTCACTGTGTAACTTCAGTGTTAATATAATCGGAACATTAATATTTAATGTAGAAATTTGGGTGATATGATCTCTGATAAAAAGCCACTAGCAATGTGGATAACATGGTAAATAAATTAGAGCTTTTGTAGATTACATTCTCTTGTAAGAGAGTCAGCTCAGAATAAAGTACCACTCAACCTATGATGTTGTCTTTAAGACCAAGAACATTACAACATATATAAAAAGAAAAAAGTAGTACTACCTATGTGTGTTATGAGGCAAAGCCAGGCCTGCTGTGTAAACAGCAATAGCCGTCAGGACCACAGCCTCTGTCTCTGACACCGGGAAGTGTTCCACAGCCATCTCCTGGAAGTGGATCGGCAGGGTGTACAGAGCTACTCCAGTCAGATGGCTGATCACCAGAGGAGTCATCACAGACAGCACTCCTGGACTGGAAATCTGAGAGGAAACAGATTAAAAAAATAAAATAAATAAATAAAATGGTGATTCAAAGGCCTCAAGATAAGTAGTTGAAGTAATATGTGTGTCTAACCTGCTCTGTGTCAGCGATTCCATCCTCTGTTCTTGGTGGTGGAGTTGCAAGTTGAACCCACAAATCTAAGGCCTGTACCATAGTCAAGTGCAATAGCAGTGTTAAAATCAACATGTAATCAGTAAGCTGGGCTTCAATCGGAGTGTTTGTGTGATTCATTTGCTTTTTTTCAGTCCTGTTTTTAGATTAAACCAAACTGAAAGTAAAATAATTGTGAAAGGATACACGAAGCAGTAGGATGACGGCGAGGAGGCCGAAGGCTGGCATGTAATACCCAATGGAGACAAAGTGAGAGAGTGACGGCATGAGGTAGAAGAAGTAGGACTGGTGTAGGCGCTCCAGGAGGTTATTCAGCTTACGATACATTCCTTCCAGAAGCCTAGAGGATATAAATCAAGGCAAAAAAACCCCCCAAAAAAACCAGCTATTAAGTGTCAGTTTATAAAGAATGTGACAACGTTAAACAAAAAAGCAGCATACACTCTGACCTGCCAATGGTGGTGACGTCTGTCTTGTACTGACGGAAACTGTTGATGCCCTTGATGGTGGCAGCCTCAATGTGGTATCGCAGGAAAAGGCCATGATCGCCCCAAGGACGCCCACTGGCCTGTTTCATCACCATCAGCATCATGGTCTGGACTGAGTGGCTGTAGCCTGACACACTGTCCCAGTCATTCCGCTGCAGCTGTAGACACATCCACACAGAAGAAAATGAGATAGCCTTGGTTTATTATTACCATTCTGCTCACCAAACACACAGCGGAAGACAAAATGTATTACGTTTCTACTACATCTCATCACAAGCCTTCACCTTGCCCTGGATGGTGCAGAGGACTCCTATCTTCTGACAGAAAGCATAGAAGAGGTTGGCTAAATCCAGGTTCGGGAGCTGGCCGTTGAGGCCTTCCAGTACCAGGTCCATACTGGTGATGACATCACTGCTGAGCTCCAGGGACAGAGCTGCCTGGATTGAACCACCACGGCCTTGAAGTGGAGACCAGTCCATACCTGGATGCACCATTCCAGAAGAGAAGTCAAATACATGACTTCTGCATGAATCTGGAGAGAATGTAATACTTTCAGGGATAATAGTTGATTGGTTTTTTAAGTGGGTGGATTACCTGTAGTGTTGGTGTGGTGGTAACCCTCCAGCCACGCCTGCATACCAATCAGATCATGTTCATTCACAAGGAAGATGATGTCTTTGGCCCAGTAGATCTGATCTATTGAGGAACACAGCCGTCATTAAAACAAGACATTCCACTTCAGTGTCATTCAAATGATAGAGAGAGCCGTGGGTTCTGCACTCACTCCTGAAGTACTGTGCCAAGCCGAGTAGCAGCCCCACTGCCTGGTTGTTGGAGTCGCCTGGGGTGCAAGGGGCACTCAGCACCAGGGCTTCAGTCCGAGGAGCTCTGGGGGCCCGAAGGATCCCATATACATTTGTGCCTTTCACCATCTGAGAGAAGAGAAGATGGTGAAAGATGAAGAGGAGCCATAGATGCATAGAAATACTATTAAAAAAAAACAGTTGAGTACATTTAAAAGTCCTCAATCACAGACTTACATATCTCTCTTTGTTTTCATCAGGGAAGGGCAGCGTGCGAGAGAACCTCTGGGTAAACACCTCCAGCCCTCGAGCCTGCATGGTCTTCACCAGCCAATCCACTGGCATCCCCCTGCAGAGAAACAACTGGTCACATTAGACTGGTGGAAAAAGATTCAATATTAAAAGGACTTACATAGAGGCTTAAGTAAAAAAAAAAAAAACACACAGGGAAACTTTTAAAATGCTATCAAACGGTGAAAAGACAAATAACCTCTGTTAATTACACAGTCCTGATTAAATGCACTGTGCTCAGACATCTATTGTTAAGTTTAATAGTGTGTGCGATATAATG